TACAATGCTCCAATCAATGAGTACCAGGCAAAGCTGGTGTTAAAGCCTTTAGCTCATGATCGGAGATGGAAGTTTATTTATGAACCTTTGCATCATGATGTGCGACTTCTTTCTAAGAAGATTCCAATAACAAAATTCCTGAATCTTCAGGTTAATGCTTTAGTTCCTTCCCACAATCCTTGACTACTTTCTAGCAAATATGTGCTAAAAATATTATCTCAAAAATTGTTCATCTGATGCAGGTAGGAGTAGGCCATAGCTTTCAGTTGCATGCCACTGGTTGGAAGTGGAAGCTTACTACCTGTTTGGGTGGGGATGGTGTCTCTAGGATTCGAAATAAAACAACACTTGGCTTATGTCCTGGCATTGATTTCCGTTTTGGGTGGAGAGCTGATTATGTGTTTCCAGAAATTACAGGGCAAGTTAGCTACTGCTTATTTGCTTTTTTACTGAAAAAAATCACGTGTTAAAACATCTCCACATGTCATGACAAGTGCATGTAGAAGTTTGAGAGAAGTTGCAATCTTTCTTAGTCACAGCAAATAGTTTGAAATGGTAATTTTTTCCCCTATGAGTTCTCTGAGCGGATCTTGGATGATTTTCTGTCACAGGGCTATGGGTACTGGTGAACCATTGTTCAACATGAATTCTGGACGCTTACAAGCATCACTTGACAGAATTGAGACCATATATACGCACACGTCATAATGGTAGCTTCGTATGTTTAGATCATCAAAGACTTCCTTTCAAGATTATGTACATAAGAATCTTTGCCATGATTTGTTGGAAACTCTATTAGCTAAAGTAGCTTGCGTGCCCCTTATGAAAATATAGTTGAAATCAACTTTACTGTAGTTTCCTGTGTTCTTTTTCTTGAGGAAACATTTTTTTTTATCACTATATTCTGACAACTTGTTTGAGAAGTGAGCGCTTACTCTGTAAATCCATCTTGCATGTTGGAGCTTTTGCCTGGAAACTCTTAACTGAGCCGGCAAAATTGCATCTTAAATATTCCCCATTCTGATGTCTTCAAGCATCTAACATTCACTCTTTCATGGTATGGCAGATTGTGATTTGGCTGTAGTAGTATCTTGGAAGAGTTCTATTAGGCCATTAATACGCGGCCCTTCACTATGCCTTCTATCACGTAATTGAATCAGTATGATCTGGGAAGAAATGAAGTGTTAGGTGGAACGGCACAAAAATGAATCAGGATCATCTGTGATGTGTCTACCAGGCTGTGGACACTGATGAGCTAAACAAACTTTGCAGATATTAGAGATTTTTCTTCCCTTGCACATTACGAGTTTCTGTAGTCAAACGGTATTTCTATTCAGGCATCAGTTATTCTGAGTCTATTTTCCGTTCGATGGTTGATATGTACCAGTACTGCTGTTTTAAAGAACAGATGAAGCAATGAGGTTGCAACTTGTATTTCTTCTGGCTTTTAAACTGAGGATCATCCATAACATAGTCATGTTGTCATCTCTTGCCCCTGGAAACCTAATGACGTGTAGTAATTAGTATACATTCTTTCAGTGGTATGCATGGTGGGGTTGGCCAAGTGAAGGCTCTCTTGATATCAAATTGGTTGCATCTCGATACACTTTGATAGAGCATTGTCGGACGGGCCTAGGACACAACCTTGGACTAATTTTTTGAACTCTGCGATTTTATTCAAGTCTGTACCAGTTGGACGTGGAATTCCAGATTTTACTATAGCCATTCAAATTTCTGAGGTCCACTGAAACATTAAAAGCATAACCTTCATATACATGGCATTACACTAAGCAAAGGGTTCAAAATCAAAGTCGTAACGTACAAAGGTGATGGTTCAGTCGAGGTCCATCCAATCTAGCCGTTGAGCATTTGGGTCTTCTGTACAACGGGCATCTGTTTTGCCTCCTATAAAGATTCAAACTAACACCCTTCTTCCCACATATGACATAACCTCAAAACATTCTCAGACAAACATTTTTTTTTAGTTGTCCTGCTGAAGAATTATCAGAAATTATATCTCTGTTCAAGACTAGTAGTAATGGCTTCCTCCACCAAGCTCAGAAGAAGCTCATGTTCCTTCCCAATTGTTCTCGTCTCATTCTTGAATTTCATTCTGTTCATCCTCTCTTCAGCCTCTCTTGCTCCGATAATCCTCCTCAAAACGCCACCAACTTGCCTTGGTTGGGCATTTCTCACGGTCTCTTGCATCTCCCTCCTTTCCTCTTTCATTGGCTTCTACTCTCAGCTCACCCACTTTTGCTTCATGACCCACGTCTCCCTTCTTCTCACCTCATTGATCGGTCAAATACTCGCGATTGTAGCGCTGTTTAGGAAGGAAAAATCGAGTCTGTCGATGCTAAAATCACCAAGGGATCCAAGAGAAGCAAAACTTTTGGTGAGGATGGAATGTGGGGTTTTGATGGCAATGTTCGTGGTGCAAGTGGGAGTCTTAATCTTAACTTGTGCTGTCCACAGCAGTTTGATGAGAGAGTATGAAGGTTTGGAAGCTGATAAAGAGGCAGTGGAGAGAAAGAGGAGCATGAGGATTGCTAAGGTGCAGGAGGAATCCATGGCCAATGCAGCAAAGTTGGCTGAGATTAAATCCAAAAAATTGGATGAGAGGGTGAAGAGCAAGTATGGGCAGTGGGTGAAAACTGATTTTGAAGGATGAAAAATTTGTAGCATCAGCATCTCTCTTGCTTTTGTGTGATGGTAATTGTAGACAGTCGCTATGGGGTGGCTTAGCTATAGCCGCCTGCCTATACAAACAAGGGTTGCGATATATATGGAGTTTGCCAGTTGAGAAAAGAGAAATGCATAAAATATTTTTCTGGAATCCAATTTGTGCTAGAAAAATTTTCGCATTTATTCATGCATTTTGTTACGAGTCCTGCACACTAGAATGCTGCAGAAGAAAAAGGTAAAATCACGCGCGCCCAAGTAGCATGAGAAAAATTGTACTACTATGTTTTTTTTTTTGTGCCAAAATCCATCCCCAAAAGTTGGACTTGATGCTCTGCGATTATGAGCATTGAGCAGAGGGATAAGAAACAACCAAAATCAATACTATGTTGGTTAAAAAGTTTCAACATAATTTCAATCTATATAAACACTTCTGGATGGGGAAAAAATAGTAGCAACAATTAACAAAGAAAAATGTAATTTCTGAAAATTAACTACATGAGACACTAACTCATACTCATACCCATTCCAGACCAGCTTACTGTCAACCATTTTTCTTTTGTTTTTTTTTTTTTTGCTGGTTTTGGGGGTGGGGGGGGGTGTTTATCTACAGTGGTAGGATGAATTCAAATAAATGAATACACATAAATTATATCTAACCAATATTATAAGAATTCATACAAATGGTGGAAACAACAACTCAGGTATATTTTGGGCTTGTGGCCACCACTAAAGCATTAAAATTTGGAGGGGGTGGGAGATTAAGGGTTCAAACTTTACCTCTCACCAATTATCACAGTAAGCAGTTCTACTTAAAAAATCCATACGGGTGAGTAATGCATCCATTTGATCCGACGGTGATTCAGTCCCCTTCAGCTTACTCTTGAGCCTCTTCGGTTCTTAAATGTGACTTGACATTTGGTCAACTAAACTAACCCAGCTGGTTTACTCCCAAGTCCCAACTATTATTGAATATATCTGGAGATTTTCGTTCAAAATTAAAACTTGTTTTTGAATATAACCGGTCACAGCAAAATTTGCCTCCACTGAAGAGAAAGTCTAAATTAGAACGTAGGAAGATGAATACTTTTTGTTTATATAAAATCTTTTGGATCTGTGTTAATTAGCGAGAAATGTACAACCTCCTATTCCAACAATGGTTGTTGCGCTACATAATGAAAAAAAAAATGTACAACCGCCAAATAATGAATAAATAATAAAAAAAAATACCACATGCTACATGATTGTGCCCTATCAGAATCAATAATTACGAATTGTGACATATTAGATTATCAAGTGATATAATTAGTTGAGTAGTCAGAGGAGGGCTGCTAAAGTTTTTTCGGCCATCAAATTTATAGGATTCGAATTATGTACATGTTAGTTGAGGGATGAACAAGGTGCGAGAAGGGGTGAAAGGATTAAAAAAAATTTTTAAAAAAAAGAAGAAGAAGATTATCAATTGATATTTGGTTGCAATGTGGGGATGAATATGTAGAAAGGTGGATGCCAGTCTTCCACACGTTTCTCTCAATGAGGTAGATATCCAGTTACCATACATCCGCTCATGGTATTAATTCGAAACAATGCGCTCAATTACCAAGTACTGGACGCCATTTCCCTTTCACAAACATCTGCCAGCAGCATTGAAGGAAAGGAAGAAGACAGCTTCAAGTTATGGTTCTTATTCTAGATGTGGCACCATCCACAGACTTTTTTAGGTCCACAAGCCCTCATTTGCTTGTAAGTTATGACCAAGTCCTCTGTCCTCTATTATATTTTTTTTTTAAAAAAAAAAAAACAGTTTAGATGAATTCGATTTTGATCACTGTCACAGGTTAAAACATGATTATAAAATCATAGATCGTTTATAGAGATTCTTACAAATCGTCCATTAATATAGATATCTTTTTATGAAAAAGTGATCCGTAGTTATCAGTTAACATAACTTATACAGTAGTATTTATTTATATAAGGGTAGGATTTGACGAAATTGCATTTTGGCTATTTTGTTAGGAAAACCACGACAAAGTGAGAATGTGATTGATTTCATTTAACCTGTCACTATAAAGTAAAGAGTTATTTGAACTGAGTAACCTATCACTTTCTAACCTTGCATTCCGCACCAATAGAACATAGAATAAATTGCTGAGCACTGATTAGAGATAGAGAGAGATTCCATTGGCAAACTGTTGTGTCACTGTTAACTTAAGGGCTCTGAATTTTAATACTAAGACCCGTCAATCAGCATTGACACCGGCATTCATCGAACAACTTCAGCGGGTCCTACATTGGCTTAAATCCATTGCCCAACAGTTGATGGAAAGGTAGGCTGCTGAACTTTGTTCGTTGTCACATTATTGTAATCCTAGAAGAAAATCAAGCTACGATTCCACTCTTACATTGATCATTGAACCACACTATGCTTTTGGCCTTATTCTACTTATACATTGAACCATACTGTGCATCTGTTTCTTAAAATCTATTTTTGCTAGAAGAACAGAATCCAGAATTTGTATTTGTTCCATCTTTAGTTTGCCCAAAATAGCTGAACCAATCTACAGAAAAGAGCCGACAATGCCAACAATTGCTTTGCAGCGACCTTTTCTGTTGAAAACTTCATCTTTCGGAATCAAAACGCCACACCGCAATGACAGAGCTTCTGGCATTTGGACAATGTAAGGCCCTTCTTGCATTAATTTTTATTATGTCTCAGAAGTTATTAGTTTTATTCTCATTTTTAGATTTTTCAAGTCACTCCACGCAACAATGATAAGGTTCCAAAGTAAACATTGCACGCTAAAACTTGTTAAAATTCATAGGTCAGCGAATTGGAATCCTTCACAAACAAGAAAGCAAATGGAAATCTCAAAAGAGCTTCGAACTGTTTCTGCTACCGAATCTGTGCCAGTGGTAGCTCCGGCAGAACTCCAATTTGACAAGCCGCAACCACAGGATCAAATGCTCTTTCAAGAAAACCGACTTCAGTTTGGACAGTTTGTGGCTCGTAAGGCTGTACTAGACGAAGAGTATTGGGTGCGTTGACATAATTATTGGTTATTTTCCATGTCAGTTGGCAATCATGTTTTCTAGTTATTCCTCATGGCTAATTTGCAGCGGTAGCTTCGTCATTTTTTCTTTTCTTTTCTTTTTGGGTGGTAGACAGCAGCTTGGCTGCGAGCAGAGAGTCACTGGGAGGACAGAAGAAATGACAGGTATGTACAGAAGCTCAGTTTAAGATGCATATGGTTCCTTCAGAGATAAGCCCATTTGATTTAGATCCCCACAACACATACATAGATTTTGTAGACAACACCAATAATTGTGCTAAGCTCAGAGAGCAAGCTGGCCTATGTACTAAAGAGAAAAGGTGGTAAAGATTTCCAACAGTACACTAATTGCAATTAAAGGTTAAGTGATACAATCAAACAAATCCCGGTAAGGGTCTGGAGATTGTATATTTGACGAGGAAGATTTTTAAGAATGTCATTAACTCCAGTTGTTAACTGTAATGCAGATTTGCTGACAACTACAAAAGGAAGTTTGCGGAGCAGGTATAATATAGGCTATATAGCACTTTATTTGTGTGAGATATGTATCAGTTAAATGCATAGAGTATTCAAAATTAAAAACCATTGCTTTATGCAGGAATATAATGCACTAAAAAGAAGATCCAACACACAACTAGGGCATAAATGCACCTGCATGGTGGCGGTATGAGCCGTATGACACAAATGCTCCCCAGTTCTGACTGTTCTTTGGCATCCATTTTTCGATCTTCACTCAGAATTGTCTAGACCATAAAATCTCTCTATTTGAAATTATCAGGTAAAGAAGGAAAACAGAGACGTGAAACATACTGTGCTGAAGAGTGTTGTTGGAACACTAGACTTGAGCATCCAATACTTGTCACAAGGAGAGACCTTTCCAGGGGTACGAGTTTGATTTGAATATTCAGCTGATCATTAGTAGGCATCGAAGTTTGATTGCTTTAAGATCTGGATTCTGAATTGATCATCCGTAGGCATCCATGCTCACTGCCTTGCAGTCATTGAAAGTTTTGCTCTCTGACAGGAACGGGTGAAAAATCCTCTCTTCTGCAGTATTGATAGAAAATCCTGCAGAAGATATGGTTACATATCCAATTTATGTGTTGCCAAATCAGCACGCCGGCAGGGCATTGCAAGCAAAATGATTCTCTTTGCAATCAGCTCAGCAAAAAGAGATGGTGAGGATGCATTACTTTTCGAGATTTGTTGAAAGATGACTATTGTCGATTTTTTCAGTCATCTCAGCCAGGTATCTGTGATCAGGCGCAGAACAGGTGTTTGTGCATGTACATAGGTTCAACACGCCTGCTCAGGAACTGTATCACAAGATGGGTTTTCAGGTAATTCCATCCTTAAATTTCTCTAGTATTCTTGCATGTAATGATTTGCTGATGCTAATCTAACATTCTCCTCTAGATGGTTGAAGCAGCAAGGTTTGACAAGTCAAATGAGCAAATTTATTTGCTTCAACTCGGATCATGAAATCCGTCCAACAAATTCTGTTTGTTCCTTGCAGAAGCCTATACCTTTTCGGTGCAACCAACCTCAGCCAAAAAAAAAAAAAAAAAAGGAACTGAAAACCCTATATTCAGACTTTCAGAGCAGTCCAAGCTCCACATCGAAGAAACTATGAGAAAGATTGGGCTGGTGTCAAATTTCTAATTTAGCACTTTTACATCTAACAAGTTTTCTGGAGTCTTGTATTAGCTGCCTCCAGAGTCTAGATTCCAGACCGACACAGCTACAAGGAAACTAGCTGTCTAACCATTGTAATTGTAATCTTTGATCAAACTATATTCCTTCACAGTCTGCATCCAATAGAAAGCGTATCCTAATTTATAATAAATGGCAATCACAAATTACAATCCCATGACCCTGAAATGCAATCGGAGCCATTTGATCATGCCCTTTAACCAACAAGGATGCACCACGGAAGCAAGTTGCCTTAACATTTTATACAGGCTGATATAAATTTAACATAACAGCAGATTAGAGGAGCTGCGAAATATCAGTTTTTTTTTAGGAAAAAGAAAAAACTAATGTGTATTTGGAGTGGGCACATAAGGATGGCAATAGGGCGGGGGAGCTGCTCCCTTGTTATAAACTCCCTCATCCCTGCCCCCACCACGGCCCGCTTCCCCCACGGGTGTCCACAAGGGTGCCTCTTCTTCCCCCCCCCCCCCCCCCCCCCACCCCCCCTCTTCTAAATCATTCCAAATTGCTGCACAAGATAAAAAGATTTCTTAATGTTCCATGTCTATGCTTCTTGAGGGATAAGATGTTTGTAGTTGAATAAGGGGCATTATGAAGCGATTATCAAAAAGAATCATCTTTGGTTACAGTTCTTGTTTGTATGTTGATGGCCGGATTATTAGAAATGGAGGAAACAACTGTGGGAAAACTCGAAACTTTCTCTAACAATTGTATAACTTAATCTAATCTATGGGAGAAAATCACTTAAGTAGCAAGTCACAAATAGTGATTAGTGGGACATTGACTTCCCACCCACAACTAAAACTTAAAGTCTTGGTGGTGACCAATAGACCAAATGGCTGTTGGCCTCTATAACTGTCATTTGAGCATTTTTGTGTGATTGAAACAAATATTTATCTTTTCTATTTAGATTCAGAAGATGAAGCGAAAGCTTAAAGAAATAAATAGAGAGATTGAAGAAGAAATGCGTAAACGAGATTTAAGAGGAGGCTTTGAAGAACAGAGATTTAAGAGGAGGCTTCGAGGAACAAAGCATGCATATGGCTGTTGAATTTTCTTCACATAGCTATGGACAGATTAGTCCTGCAACCGACAAAAAAATAGTTATTAGGATAAATTAGTACTACTAATAGTTTAACCCAACATAAATCAGTAACACCGCCCCCCCCCCCTTCCCACACACAGCCCCCATTACCTCCCCTCGCGGGGCAGTGTCTCGTTGCCATCCTTCTCTATGGACACAAACAATGGGGTTCAACCATATATGAAGAATAAAAAAAAAAAGAAGTATCGATCCTCAGTCTTTGCCATAAGCATTTTTCCCCCCGAAAATTAATATCATCAAAGGAAGCCGTAATCACGTTGCTGCACCAATATCCAAACTTTATCCTTTTCTTCCAAAGAGAAAGGAGAGTTTATGTAAATCACATTTTCATTGTAATAAACCCCAAACTACTCATATAGTCCAATCAATAAAAAGGAACTTCCAAAGTAAAATGACAACTAAACTCCGGACCCCCAGAGAGAGAGAGAGAGAGAGAACAAGTGTGGCCAACTGGCAATGATCCAGGCATCAACTCAATTAACTAGTTTGAATGGTTGACTTGGAGGAATGAAACAGTTAAAACGGAGTATAGAAGTTCTGCAAACTGGCAACGAATCAGGTCTCTTGTTTGGGAATTTCAGTTGGGAAGAAAGAGGAGTGAACATTTAAAACACATTCCTCTCCAAACAGGGACTAGTGGGAAATGGAGGTACTGTGAGCTCAAAACTTGTAAACCTATGTCAAATCCATTTAAATCGGCCCATAGAAGTTCAAGCAACACTAGTAATACCTGACGAACACAAATATAATCCCCTTCTTTTCTAAACTCTAAACAGAAGTTACAATCTTCTCTCTATTCTCTTCTATAAACTCCAAAAGTAGGCCAATGTGTTGAGAAATGATTTATAGATGGTGTCTAGAATAAGTCAATTGCCAACGTGCCAATAGTCATCACTTGGAGCTAAGGTATTTGACCCATAATTGGCAGAAATAATGATACCAAATTCAAGATAACAAATCAAAAATCTTCGAGGATAAATTGTTCAGACATACGTATATGACACCTCCAACATGTAAACAAATTAGGGATGTCAAAGCTTTCGTTACAAAATATGCATGCATGACAAGCCACAGTATACCCCAAATGGCCAAAAATAAGCAACCTGAGACTTGTCAGCAGCTGAAGCGAGATTCATTCCCTACTAACAACACAAAAATTGTTTTCATGATCAAAATCATGACATCACATGTTACTGCTGAAAATGTACAGGGAATATGCCCAAGGATACAGAAAAGTTGGGAGCTGAAATTTGGAACTTCACCACTAGGTTTTGAACTAGGTTAAACCAGGATCACAATGAAGGAGAAACAGATGAATAATGCAGTGGTCCTCGTAGTAGATCAGGCACCTCAAGATGTTCCAGTAGGGGCTTCATCTTCAATCCAATTATTCGTACTTCTGGATTAGAATGGCCCAACAAAAATACATCTGTAACCTGTGAAAGTACGATATGACATGAGCAATATGTTAATGCATGCCTACAAGGGACAATTCAGCCAGGCATTTAAAGAGAACAGAAGTGTATATATATCGTGTCAGACAAAGGGACACTGGGGGAGGGTGGCAGAGACACTACATGGATGATATTATTTCAAAAATGGAAAGACTGGAGTATGTATTTGTGACCCAAAAAGATTTATTCTCTGGTGAAAAGCAATTTGTAAAGGATAAGACCCAGGTATCGAGAATACTTCACTCACATTACATACATCTATAAGATGAAAGAGAGAGTTCATACTCCCTAAAGGTTCCAAGATCAATTTAATCTTTTGTGAAGCATTAAAAAGGCACCCCCCCCCCTCCACTGGTTTCCAGAAGCAAAACTCATTGCTTAGAAACAGGAAAATATTGCCAGAGAAAAGGGCTTGAACTTGACACAAATACACACCATCAAAGTATTATGGCGCTCATGGCAACAATATCTAAGAACCACTATTAGCTGATATCTCATATCCCCATATCTTTGGATGTCAAACCTATACATAGATTTCATTCGTTTATAAATTCAAAACAGCATCCACTGGATCAGTTTTCTCCTCGAACTTTTGTTTATGCAAACTAAGCACAAGTAACCAAACTTTCTTTTACAGATACAACACCAGCCCAGCATACAGGTAAATTCTTTTTGAAGTTATGAGAAGACCTACATGTTAGAAGTTTCCAGTCTCTTTATCCTATGTTTTCGGAAAACCAGATTGAGGTCAGGGAGAAAATTTGCAATCAGCACATAAAGTTTGAAACTTGTCCAAGAAATTCAAAAGAACATATTCAGAATCAAAGGATAGACAGTGCTTATGATATTTGTTCCCTTCTGTCACAGAATGCCTGTCAATTGGCTGGACTGTCCCTTTACAACTTATAAAGTTCATTAGATCACAAAAAGGGGGACCGGCTAGTCTTGAAAAGACAAATGCTGACTTCTAATACGAGATCCAATAGTTTGTAAAATTAAGTGTGGTTTAAACAATCATATCATACCTGACTACAACCAAATAGTTTCAAAACTTTCAGAGACAAGCAGCCATCTACAATCAATCCAAGGGCTTCATTAGTCAAATTGCGACACCAGGACAAATCCAAATATTGCAGGTTTCTAGAGAGTCTGGCAAGTGATATAGCGGTATTCTGAGCGACCTGGAAATTTTGGCAGAAAGGCCTAGTCAAGCACAACAATGGAATGCCATATATAAAGTAACCTAGGATAAAAGACCCACGTGTTTGATCAGTTAATGAAATATCAAATACACGAAAAATCCAAATTACCTCCCAGCTGCGAGAAGCAAAATCTCAGGATATTGTTATCAAGAAAATTTGGTATGAAATGCAAAGATGAGCAACAGGAGAGGGAGGGAAGAGAAGGAGCAAAAAAGGTATTGACAGTTTAGTACCTGTTTAACATTACTTAGTGAAAGTTCTCTCAAAGTATCTCCACAGGTCTCAAGATAAGCAGCAACAGCTTCATCGCTGCCACAAAATCGTAGGAAAGTTATGCTGTTGGAAGTCAACTACTATTCTGAATATGGGATACGGGATTACTTGTCAATGAGAACACAGAGATAATCTCTAACTGCACTATAAAGCTCCTATAAAAGTGCTAGAGGCTTGTTCTAAAGGTCCGTCAGAGTCTATGGATTTTGCAAAGAAGAGGCATTGACTTCTTAACTTGCTGCTGTAAAAGGCAAGCTAGATGTAATGGAAACAGAAGAGCATGGAGGTGTGCCCTCACAATTGGGTATTATGGAATTAAATCAACTGTACGCCTTTTGAGGACATATAGAAAGCTTTGTAACAGTATCAAACAGTATCTTTTGGTTCACATGGCTTTTAGGGCTAAGCATACTTTCCTAATTCTTATGAATATGGATTCTGAATGGAATTCCCTTGAGGGATCTTTATATCTTTGTATACTTCATATATAGGTGGTACACTCTTGTACTACTTTCTCAAATAATGCATTTATTTTAAAAGGCCAATATATAAAAAACCTGAATGTGTTGCGGCAGAGTTTCAAAGCTTGAATTGCTTGACAACCATTTGCAAGGTACCCTATTGCAGTATCTGTTAAGTTGCACAAGTTAGAGAGATCAATTGCACATAATTCTGAACAATATTCTGCAATAACTCTAACAGAAGAATCCGTCAATTTCCTGCACCAAAGGAAATACAAACAGGATTAATGAACTAAGTAGAGATTCCTTCATAATTCAAATCTCAAAAGGCAATCTATTCAGAATAACCCACATGCAATCTGCCAAAACAAGCTCCTTTATCTTGTGACCTCGTTCGCTTACAAATCTACTGACAAAATCATCAGAAACAGTCTCCATGCCAGCCAATGACAAGACTTCCAATTGTTCAAACTCTAACAAAGCTGACAATATATGCTTGGCTTCTAGCCCTTGGCAGTCATCTAGATATAGTTCCCTCAGAACTGATCCCAGTGAAGCTGCCAAACTGGCAATGCCATCAGAAGTAAGAAGGGAACATTGGCTGAGATTTATAGATCTTAGTGAAGGTGCAGCAGAAA